CTTTCATGGTTTAAAAATTGCTGATAGTCCACAGTACAGAAATAACTGGTTTTCAGGCTGTTCACTTCCATAATTGTTTCTTGTGTGGTCCCTCAAAATTGGGTCCCTCAAAATGAGGTGAGATTATGAGCATCACTCAGTTGAGTTTCACACTCAGTCTGAAAGGAGAGAGAGAGCCAAACCTCCCAGAAGTGCAGAGGGATGGCTGGAGTGCCAGGCTGAGGGCTGTGCCCAGCCAAAGTGCTGCTCAGTGTTGGATGCACGTGTTGACAGAATGCCACCCTACACTGACCCCTCAGCTGCAATTTTGTTTGATGATGCCATCATGGCTGTAAAAGACAATGCTATGATTTGGTACTGACATAAATATGAAGAGGAGGCAGAGCATTTCAGCCTCTAGACTTGCTGGCAAGCAAACCTGGAAAAAGCTTCCAGCTTTGCTGGTCCTTGTTTGGCTTACTATAGAAAATCCAGCCACTGATATTTTAATTTCATTTGACATGAACAAATTTTTGGCCAAATTCTGCCTGTTTCTAGCTCTCCTTGCCTGGAGGGTTTGTGCTGCCTGTGGGCTTGGTGCCTTCCTGGGCTCCTCGACAGCAGTGAGGGATCCTGCAGCTGCTGGGCTGTCTCCTCCTCCGAAGGAATGGCAATCACCCAGCTTTGGTTCCTGTGTTTCCTATGGTCTATGCTAGTTCTCTTGGGATTCTTTCTGTTTTTTCATGAGGAGAAATACAGACAGAAAAACAGTAATTGACAGTCTGTTTACCCTGCCTGGGGGAGAGGAAGATTTGTAAGGACCAGAGGATCTTCTAATGCAAATATTCCATGGGGTTTGTCATGGCGCAGACAGGGAGGTCCTGCTCCTCAACTCAGACACAGGAGCACAAAACAGACCAAGTGAAAGACAACAAACTCTAGATCTGCAGCTGAGTTCTGGATCTGGTCTTGCTGAAGCAGTGCAAGTGCTGGTATTGGTATTGCTTGGAGGATGTGAGAAGGGCCCTGGTAGAAAGACAGGAGCACCATCCATTAGTCTGACTCGCTACATGCACCTGGCTATCACAGCCTGTAATTTGTGTGGGTTACTTTTCCCTGCTTTTCAGTGCAAATACAAGTCTGAATAATACAGCACATTGTTAGCACTTCAAAATTTCCAGGGAAAGGAAAGGATCTTGATAACAGGCTTTTCTTTTTTTCTTCTTTTTTTTTTTTTTTAACGGTGCTGCATTATACAGATTCAAGCTGTGTAAATACACTGCCAAATAAAAAAAATGTTTTAAATCTTTCAGTAGAGTGATGTGCCTCAAGGGCAAAAACATGTTGGAGAAAGCCAGCAACATGGGACTCTTACTAACATCACATGCAAACACAACCAAAGAAGCTATGTATGGGATAATTATCTACTCAGATAAGGTTTATCTATACTGCCAACTTAGTATGAAGACAGCTAGTATGATTCTAATAATGCACTCCTCACTGGAATTAGGCAGACAAAATACCTTCATAATATGTGAGCTGAGCTGGTTCTTCATAATAACATGATTTCAAAGATTTGCTTCTTATTGTGGAGAGAGCCTGCCTTCCTTAAAAGCACACTGCCTGGTTGTTCTAGTATACCTGCTTGGTTCAACTGCAATTAATCATAATTAATTGACAGGGTTAGAGAATCACATTTATCAGCAGGTTAATTGCTGTGTTTGAGCCCAACAGAGCTCCCAGGGAAGAAATAGCCATGCAGCCTGTTGCTCAGGAAGAACTTGCAGTGGATATTAAGCTGTAGTTTGAATTGTGACACAATCTTTGCCAAATGAAATAGCATTTTATATCCAAACAGTTTTAGCACATTGTAAACCAGTGCTGCCAGTTTTTCATTCACTGTTACATTGCTTCATAATTTGCTCTCAAGGAGTGAGCCCAGGGGTGCCTCTGAGCAGCACCTACCTGCACGATTTCCAGCATCTCTGACTTACTGATGTAGCCATTCCCATCGAGGTCGTACATACTGAATGCCCACTTCAGCTTTTGCTCCAGTTTTCCTCTTGACGTTACACTCAAGGCTATGATGAATTCTCTGAAATCTATTGTTCCGTCTCCATTGGCGTCGAAAGTGCGGAATACATGCTCTGCAAACTTAGAAGCGTCCCCGTAAGGAAAAAAGTTTCCATATATTTTTTTAAACTCCTCCATAGATAAATGTCCACTTGGACAGTCTCTCAAGAAGCCTTTGTACCACTCCTGGATTTCATGTTCTGTAAAGTCTGTACTTTCTAGCAAATCTTGCATGACTTCAGGGCGCAGTTTGCTGTTTTGCTTTCCCATATTGGAGTTAAAGTATTACCTGTAGAGCAAAAACAAACACATATTAATTATTATTCATTATTGATACTGATTATCTTGGAGGCTGTAGAAGAACAGTATGCTGTATTCTGAGTTTTCTGATGATAGTTCACTCTTGGGTATCAACTGAAACCTTGGACAATGTCCAGAACTACATGTATACTCTGAAAAAATTAATAAATGTAATCCACATGTTGATTACATTGTCTTTTGACAACTTGGAGAACAGTAATTACACTGAATTCATTGCCATGCTTGAAATCACGAGGTAAGCCATGGATGTTGCAAGGTACAGCTAACAGTAGCTGTGTGCTGAGCACACCCTCCATCCCAGTCACCCAGCTGTGCTAAGGACCTGGCCTCACGAGACACAATTTTTGTATCTCTGGTGGAAGCCAGACTGGTACAAAGGCCTGTGTTCCCTTGGTCTTCTTCCAAAATGGGATCAAAGTGCAACTGCAGTGTATGCTCCAAAGCCCTTCCACACCTATCTTTATAACCAGAAAGCAACACAGAAACTGCCTCTTTTGTTTGGCATATATCAATTCCCATTTTACTTCAAAATTAAGTTAAAATCTGAAGAGATTTTATCAACAGCAGATTCCTCCACTCAAACTATTAATGTGTTGTATACTCAGGCAATAAAATTGGAAATTCATTTCCCTTAAATTAACCACTAAGAAGTATTATTGGATACAGTCTCTATTAAATCACCTTAATTATATTTCATTTGAGGCAAGTTGGTACATATCACATTGTGCAGCACATTTACTAATGATGGATGCCGCTGGGTTTTAAGTTTTGGAGCCCGAGTGTGTTGGCTCTGAAAGGCAACATCAGTTTTACTGTAAGCTTAACATTATGCTGATTTGTGGGAAGCCCTTCTCTATTGACAGAAACCTGCCTGAGAATTGGTCACACAAATGACAGTCACAACTAAGATATGATGTATGGATAAGTAAAGTAGAATTGCAAAATAATTTAAATGTGACTCACACTGTTGTCAGAATGGAGTCTGTGGCCCAGAGATGGATCTAATAATGATGACTGGAATGGCTAATGAGCATTCAATAAAATGTCCTTTCTTAACCAAGAAAGGTTAAAAATGAAAAATGAAGAATAATACAGTATCAATGCATCGCAGAAGCAGCTACGGAGAAATGTACCACCATTTGAAGCTAATCTACTGTCTCCTCTGTTTGGCATTGGGAAGAAGAAAATGAGGTTCCCCCAGGCTGATAATACTTTTTTTTTTTTCTTGTGAGAAGCTCCCTTTCTCCCCAAGGACTTTGAACTCCCCAAGACAAGTAGAGGATTGATTCCTTAATTTCCTATGTTCTTGGACCAGAATGACCAAAAAGTTGTATTTCTCAAGTGTAAAACACAGGATCCATCCTAGATCTATCTGTGTTTCCAGGATTCACTGATGGCTGTCTGGTAGCATATAGCTGTTGCCTTTTTCCCAACCTGGAAATGAAACTCAAGATAATTTTAGTAAGGAGGTAATATAAGAGCGGATATTTATTTGAAGGCCTTCAGAAGCAGTTATGAAAAGATGTCCACACAAGCCTACCCCTCTAGGGGTGAATACATTTTACGGGTTTCAGGAAATTAGCATAATTGATAAAAAGCACCAATTAGGAGGACAAGTGGTGATGCAATTTTCCTTCAGGTCAAGCCCTTTCTTTGGAGTTTTCTCCTTGGTACTCTCAGCCTTTGTTCCCAGGAATAGCCAAGACAGCACTGGGGTCTTGTACCCTGGGGCCTTGGGGTTCTGGAATTTGCCCAGGGAAAGGCTATGGAAAAGTACTGGGAAAACCTGTCGTTAATACTATAGGCCACAGAGTTACAAATATATGTGTGAAGAATACAGGGAACATATAAAAGAAAAAAGGCAAAAACCAAGCAGCATCACAGTTTGGTAACTGTATGTCCTGTCTAAATCCATTGCTGTTCTCTGTGTACAGTTCATGGAGAACAGGCTTCCCTGTTCACAGACAGGAGGATGGGAAGGGTGAAGAAACCTGCCGCATGAGAGCCTATCCAACTTCTGACAATTTCAGGGGCTTGGTTGACTATGTTGACCAAACAACATCTTTTCCTCTAAAGCATCTTCGAAATACTTGAAAAGTGGAAGATGCCACTTCAAAGGTAATTTTTTTCTACTGTCTTTTGGTCTTCTAATCCTGATCAAAACATGCTGTACAGTTTTTAAGCAATCCAAGCTCTTAATGCCCTGAAAATAGCAAAAAAGTCCTTGTTTCACAGGCCCGGTCCAACAGCTGCCAAGGCAGCTGAATGTTGTGTTACTTCCACGGGTGTTGGATGGCCCCATAATAAACAACCTGGGAATTAGCTGAGGGAATGGGTTACATTAGGGCAGCCAGAGGGCTTTATGTCAGGCCAAACAACATGATCAGGGTCTGCCAGTGGGATGGAAGAGCGACTGGACAGGGGAGGTGGGCAGGGTCAGTTTGTAGCAGCCCCAGTTTAACACAAACCCCCAGTAAAATCCCAGCGTAGGCAGCAGCTGCCCATGCCCCCGGCTGGCAGCTCCTCGGCAGCACCAGGGGCAGCACAATTCCAGGCCAGAGAGCAGGGAGGGACGATGCTGACTAAGGTGCACGCCAGCTGGGGTAGCAATGAGCTAGAATTAGCCATATAATCCCCTCCTTTTTAATAACTCAAACATTTGAAAATGGAAAACTCAGCTTGCACATTTCTAGTCCAGAATCTTCTGGAAAATAGTGAGGTAAGATGCAGGCAGTCCTTCAAGAGGTGGCCAATAAGACTGTATTTCTCTCTAAAAGTGAATGCCTCTATAACTGCAGAGTGTTGTAGGTGCAACACATTTTCACCAAATAATAAAAACCACAGAAGAGTAGAATGCACTGCCTTTCAGAGCATCATAACCAGAAAATCCTGTGTTCTCCAGGGAGAAAGGGTGAGCTAACCATATATAACTTACAGTGTGAGGTTGAAATCCACAGGTGTTGTGATGCCAGGTGACGCAGTCAAAACTAGTAGCACTATTCCCGAGTCCACTTGTGATGAATTTTTATCATGTTCTTTGCCCTCCAGATTGTTCCTTTTTAATAGGTAGTGTTCTAGGAACTGCAACAATGGGATTTATTGTGCCTATTCTATCTATCAAAACCAAAATGCTTTTGCAGTCCAAGTACAGAAGATCATTGAAGGCACTTGAAGATCCTTACAATCACTTCACAGACTGCTGTCTGACTCTTCAAGATAGATTAGCTTGTAGGAAGAGTGCAGTAAACTGAGAGGATGTCAGCTAACAATAACAGCAATAAATGCACAGAACAAAATGAAATTGAAACTGATTTTCACACTTTTTCACGCTTTATCATTCCTGTAGATCTTTCAAATTTCTAATAAATGATTAGAAGTGTTGCAGAAGATAGATAAATATAATTATTCATAAATAATACAGCCAGGATGAGAACAGTTCTTCCAGCTAGCCGGACAATGCCCTTGCCTACGGATGGGTCCAGGGGTCGAGTGGACTGTTCCATCTCACCCCCCAAAATGTACGGCTCACCCCGCACCTCTGTCCCTCCCCTAAAACATCAAGTGCCTGTAACCCCATTGGCCCAAGCCTTGTTCCAGCCCACCTTGAAACCCCCTGATAAGGGGTCTCCGAGGGGCCACACGGCCTCTTGGAACTTCCCCTCCTCTTAGAACTTCCCCTCTCCTAAAACATCCTCTTGTCTCTCCCTTCCCCCACCTCTTTAAGCCTCGCCACGTGCTGCATTCAGCAGCTCGAGGCAGGACCTTTCTGCATCCCCAATAAACCTCATTCCCCAAGAGCAACCTTCAGAGATCTCTCGTCTTCATTCACTCAAACCATCCTGGAGAGGCAGCAATCTTCTACATAGAAATTCTAAATACAGCAAGTAAATAGTGAACACCAATCACAATAGCATAGTAAAATATGACAATACTGAGAAATGGATGATGTAGGAGTACAAAGAGAAAGACAAATTAATTCTGCAATTTCTTCCTCTGACACAATGGTGTTAGATACAATATGTATGAATGACTTGCTACATAGAACAACATATCAAAATACAAAGGTCTTAATTCTTAAGGCAGTATTTTTTGGTAAAAGAATGTGATGTGTTTATGGCTTGAATGGTTGATACCATTTCAGCCAACAACTATAGAATATCAGGAAGTAAAGTGCCACTGCTACAGAAGGAATCCCTGCTCACTGATTATGGGAGGAAACGTCATAGGTGATGCTCCTGAAAGGAAATACTTGAAGTTCCTCTATTCAGGTCCATGTGCAGAGTTTTTAAGATGCAGGCGACAGAGTTGTTTGACAGACAGCTGGCCTGTGAGGATTCAGCACAAGCCAAGAGTGCCACTGCTGTGATAGCTTTCCCTGCAGGGCAGCAGATCAGCCGTGTGCAGTTTCAGCCTTCTCACCACACAGGGAGCTCTGACTGGGCAGAAGGGCAGTGAGCACCTCTGCTACCACGTGTCTCTTTGCCAGCAGCTTGCTGCTGCTCACACGCAGTTGTTTCCTCCATCAGAAACCTCAGAGTGAGGCAAACACTGCCCCTGCTTAAGCAACAACCTTGCAGGAGCTGGAAAGGTGCAGCAACCAGAAGCATGCAGCCAACCCACTGAAACGAGTGCAGTGCAATGCAAACAGATTTGCAATGCAAACATGTAAAACATCTAAACATATTTCTTTAAAAAAAACAAATGTTTTCTGTCTTTCTGTTGAAGGTTTGCTATCACAAGGGTTTGTTTTTTTTTAATTTGTTGTTGTTGTTGTTGTTGTTGTTGTTGTTGTATTGAGCTCAGTCTGCCAAAGACAGCAAGACTTCTTAATTTCTATTTAGGCTTAAATCTGAGGAGAAGTCCCCTGCTGGGAAAAAGTATTATGAGAAGAGGACATTTGTGCAGGGAAGTCTTATTCTAAAAATGGAGTTTTTAGGTGATTGGGTACTTCATAGCTAACAGGGCATA